TACCCTCATTGGTTCTTCTAATTTTGCACTCAATCAGAATTTCTAAGCGTGATAATCGATCTTCGCCTCTATGTATGTAATTCTCTCCATAATCACGCTTGGTGACTGATTAATTTGTCATTAATAAACATTGTCTCTTTTGGCTGTGGCCCTGTTCCCTCAGGAGCCAGGAATTGTGTGGCTGTGGTGACTGTTGTCAGTGCGATTTGCATGAGAGTGGTTGACGTTTGTTTCTCAGCGATTTGCCAGGGGCAGCTAGTGGCCAGGTCTCCGAGTGCCGAGAAAAGCATGGTGGCAGCTCTGTCTCTCACTCTGTCATCATCAGCGCTGCATGTGTGTGTGTGTGTGTTTGTGTGCTGCTGTCAAATGAGGCACAAAGGAACATTCAAATCATGTTTCTCACACTTCCACAAGCACCTTGAGGAAATAATGGCCCCAGTGCTGTAAAGGGCAATGCTCATTGGTAACGGGTATTACAGATTGCCAGAGCTGTATCCTAAAGCCTACCCAATTGTATGGCACATGTCACACAAAGCCTTCATTCACACTAGAAGTCTACGCATATTACAAACGTGTTCAACTGTCAAATGTATTAATTCTTTGGTGCGGTGCAAACATGTCCACGTATTATGGCAGAGCATGAGACGCTTTTTGTTATTTTGTTGTTTCAGGACGCAGTTCAGCCTCTCATATCTCAATCTCATTTTATGTTGAATTAGTTTGGCATCAACTTCACATAACCTTATAGGATTGGAGCTGCCGTGCTGCTATGGCCAGAATATTGATAACAGATGTTCAAATGGCTTATCAGGTCATTGTTTGCATGCCAAAGTAATCTCTCATTATTATTTGAGTTATTGTTATTAAAGGCTGTTGTTTTTGTTTGTGTACTTGCATTTTTTTATTTCAGAGTTTATTAAAGATTAACAAGAAAGATTGTTTGATTTATTGATGCTATATTGAAGCCGTATTGCTTAATAAATGGATGTTTTAGACATTTTTAAAATGCATTTTATCAAAAATATATGGAGAAGGATATTATTACATTATATTATATTATATTATAAAAATACTGTTTAATTTGAAAATGGTTTCTATGCTGGCATTTTTCTGTACATCTTTGAATGTGAAATTAAAAGGTCCATCATATAGTAACTTTTTTGACTTGATTCATTTATTGTCAAGAGGCATGTTCAATTTTAATTTAATTTAATTTTCTTTTTTTTAATTAAAAACAAAACTGACATGCACATTTTCTCTGGACAGCTGCAGGATTGAGACGGTAGCATTGTTGAAATGGAGTGCGGCACAGGGAGAGATGTGGATGCTGTGGAGGCACACTGTCACTGTCTGTGTTTGTGACTATTGACTAACCTGAACAGAGAGACAGAGGGCAGGCTGGGTGTGAGCCATCGGCCTCAGACTGTCCTTCCTGTCCTCTGCTTAGAAAACATGTCAGACGTGTGTCCAGAGATGCCTGCTTTGGATGGACAGCACGTCTTCTCCTTTCCTCAACCTCCAGGACAACATAATACACAGTGCTGGCTTGTCCTGATGTTAAGAAAACCAATGCCACCCAAAAATACAGAGATATAAAATAAAGCTTTTTAGTGAATAATCTCTAGAGATTTGAAAAGTCTAGACTTTACACAGACTGTCTTTTCAAACATTGCCCTAATGACGAGTTTAACGTTTTAAATAAGCTTTAAAGAAGACTGGGGTCATGCTTTTCACTTCAGTGAAAATTTTTGAACATCTCTTCTAATAATGCCAAGGAAAGCTACAGCTCTTTATATCAGTTTATATATATATATATATATATATATATATATATATATATATATATATATATATATATATATATATATATG